TTCCTTCCTTCCTTCCTTCCTTCCTTCCTTCCTTCCTTCCTTCCTTCTCTTTCTTTCAAATCAGAAGTAAATAAAATTCTTTCCTATTTTGTCCTTCAGATCGAAAAGCAGCTCAACCCAGACACACTGTTGCAGTGGACCAACCCCAGCACCATGGCCAATGCCAAAGTCAAACTGTCTCTCCCAAAGTTTAAGGTGGAAAAGATGATTGATCCCAAGGCTAGTCTGGAAAGTCTGGGTCTGAAAAGTCTCTTCGATGAAAACACATCTGATTTCTCTGGCATGTCAGAGACCAAAGGAGTGGCCCTATCAAATGTGATTCACAGGGTATACCTAGAAATAACCGAAGATGGTGGTGACTCCATTGAGGTGCCAGGATCCCGAATCTTACAGCACAAGGATGAATTCAATGCTGACCACCCATTTATCTATATCATTAGACACAACAAAACACGAAACATCATTTTCTTTGGCAAATTCTGTTCTCCTTAAGTGGCAGGGCCCTGCTAAGTCTCAGGTAACTTGTCTGGAGTTGCAGATCTCTGTAAACTTTGTATGCAGACAATCACTTTCTATACAATAAATTGTTAATTTTGCTGAATCAAGAAGCAGCTGGTACTTGTTTATATGCAGCCTGCACACTAACAGACACTTCTTTTCCAATTCCTCCTTATTTTCCTTTGTCAAAGGAAATGGCACATGCTTGTAATGAAAGAGAATCACCTTAGCAAAGAATATGTGTTCTTCATTTGTCAAAGAGACATGGAAGACATTCTCCTCAGAACTTTGCCTTTCTTCCCTGAGAGGAAGAATGTTCTAACCCTGTCACAATGCTGTGGGTCCAGAACCCAAGAAACAGTTTTTCCAGGATCTTAATGGGAGATTTTAGAAAGATGGCATGTTGCAAATACTATATATTATGGAACTCCACAAATAGGATCTGGAATATCACCTTGTAAATCAGTACTTTAATATTTCTGCTAAAAACATAGGTTATTCACATAAAACAGGTACATAAAGATAGTTCACAAATGATCACTAGTTCTGAAAAATGAATAAGTTGTCAGCTCATGGAAACACTTTGCAGATCATTCTAGATCTTTGGAGTAGTGGATAAAGTTCTGGGCCAATTTTAGCTGAAGACTAAGACCCTTGGGGGAAGCTTAGCTTTTACAAAAATTGACTTTTGTTTCTCCTAGCTGCCCCACCTGGTCATTTGGGTGGTATGGCTGCTGGAGGGCTTCGAGCCAGATCACAGGGGTCTTCACAACTTAAGATCTCCAGGGATTCTCTTGATGATCAGAGAGTTTGTGGCTGTTTAAGGAACTTTCCTTTTTTGTCTAATGTGGCAGTGGGAAAAGGACGGGATCTCAAACCTTCAGAAAACACAAGAAAAACGATTTAAGTACTCATCATATGTTGGAATATGTTTTTTCAAATCTGGCTATTGGATAACAGTTTGTAATCTACACAAATAGTTTATTAAATGACTCTGATAAATTAGTTATGTTGCAACCCAATCTGTTTTAACTCACCCCCAGAAGGAAATATTTGCCGTGGTTTTTTCTTATCTGCCTCTCCTTTTCCAATTTATTGCCATTTATTGTAAATAAGTTTTTTTTTCCTCTGAAGGTTCAGTGGTGACTTTTTTTTCTGTGCTATTGACAATAAAATATTATTGAATTGTGTGCCTTGTTCTTTCTCTATTGGCTTAGAGTTACTGTCTTCTTCATTTCATTTATACATGTAAATGCCTTCTGGAAGGTGGCTAATATACGAACAAGAATACAAATACTATTCGTCTTTCTCCCTGGCCATTGGCTGTTGCACTCTGTTATTCCAACAAAGACAAAACCAGGAAGGTGTCAGCAATATTCAAGCACTTACAAGTTATTTGAAATCACAGCCTCCCAGGAGGACACGCATCTTCTTTCCTGCCTTTTCTCTTCTGCTCCTTCCCCAAAACGTAACTTTACAGAAACCCATAAGGTTACGATGTTTCCTTAGTTGGTGCATTTTTCTCAACACCATATTCGTTTTTTTTCCCAATTACTTATAATGTATTTGAACCTGATAGTCAACACCCTTACAATATGCACGAAATGAATGTGTTTTCTTTTGCAATAAATATTCAAACACACCCACTTCTTTAAAGGGAAATGACTCCTTGTACAGGAGAACCACTCTTGTTCATTTCCTCCTCCCAACCTACAAATAAAATACGGGATGATTCTGGAAAAGGTGAATAAGTGGAAAGAGGAGAGAGAAGGTGGTGCCTCTTGGCCAATGGCTCAGGGAGTTTCAAGTGTCTCCAGGAAGGAATTTGAAAGACATTGCCAGTTTTGGTCAGTACTTTTCTAGGAGCCTCTTCATTGGTCCTTTCCAATCATGGGGAACTTCTGCCCTCTAGAGGATCTTTTTGTTCTCTGGGAGAATATATTTTGATCTGATTAATTAATATTTCCAATGGCCTGAAGACCAACCCCTCAGTCCTCCTTAGAAGTGAGCATTATCCAGCTCATCACACCCACGGGGCCCGGGTGACACCACTGGGGCACTTGCTAAAAGACAGATGTAGTGAGAGCATCCCGAGGCAGAGAAAGAAGAAAGGTTTGGAACTCTAGTAGAGGATGAAGGATGTCTGCTTGCCGTCAGCTATAAAGAGGCCTACAATTTATTTGGCTGGTTATTTTGGCAGATCCTACTTGGAGGAGGACCTCCTGGTGGGGGTGTGGGGCCCAGTCAGATTAAACAGTCTTTATAGTCCCATGAGGGAGCCCTGCAGATGAACTAACATTTGGCTCCTCTCATTCCTAATATCAGATCGCAGAGGCTCCAGTCAAGCAAGGCTTCCCTCCTGGCCCTATAGTTGCATGTGGAGTGGAGAGGACGAATATGTGTGGGAGCTAGGCCCATCCCACTACCTTTCCCTGTCAGTCAAGTCTCAGTCAGACCCAGATGTGAGGGATGGTGATGTTTTCTATCAGAAGGGACTCAGTCCCGATTTAGGCTTCTAAACTTGTTCATTTCTGGAAATGTCCATATGACACATGACAGTGGCTGGGGAAACTTTAGCCTAGGAAGTGAGGGGTTTCCTCTAGGGAAGGGGGTTGAAGATCACATTGGCACTTCTAAGGAGCTAGGAGAACTAGGATGTATTTGCCAATATTCTGTTAATATTCTTATTCACCAATAAATCACTCTTTTTATTTTTAAAACTTTTGTTGATTCTTTTTGAATCTTGTGTCATGCACCCCAATCCCACCCATCTCTCCATCTCTCTGTGTATTCCCTCTGTGATCCCACCCATCTCCCATCTCTCTGTGTGTGCCCTCTGCCTTTGCAATCTCCCCCACAAAAGAAAACAAAAAGTAAAGATGGTAAAAAAATAAAAATTAAAATTAGCAACCACAAAACATTACTCCACAGAAGCTTTGGTATGTCATAGTGTGTTGCCCAGTCTGTCTTTTTGCCCAAACAGTTTTACTTGAAAGTGTTCATTGTGGTGAGTCATTGGTTTGATACGAGGCCCCTGACCTCTGCTATACGATTCAGAATGGGACTCCTCTCAGATAGCCTGACTTTGTCTTGTGTCATGGAAATTCTGTCAGTTTGGTTCTACAGGTCAGGCCCTTTCACAAGCTCCAGCAGTTCTTAGATGGCGTAGATGTTGGGGTGGGCCAACTCGAAGCCCTGAATCAGAACCTGAGTGGTAGCGTAGCTGAGTCGGTCAGCCTGCCACTTAGCATGCACCGTGCCATTAGGGACTGTACTCCTGCTTGTCCAAGTGAGGGGCGGGCCCAGTTCTCCTGCCTGTGGTAGCTGAGGGGGCCGGGCCAGCTCGCCCATTCTCATGCCATGGACCAGCTCTCCCATGCCCACATAACCAGGGCCGCGTCTCCAGCACTGCCCTGAAGAGGGGCAGGACCTGCTCTCTCTAGTGGTGTAGCTGGCAAGAGGTGGAGCCATCTCTCCTGCTCTTACGCCCTTGGGGCCATCTCCCGTGACCACTGTCAGGGTCAACTCTACCACGTTGCCCAGGCAGGTTCAGGGCATTCTCTCCCGAGTGCTGCAGCCAGCAAGGGACAGCACCTTGCCTGGGCAGCACCATAGAACTGGTCCTGGTAGTATGGTTGTGGGTGAGCTGGCCAGGACTCCCTTAACCCTGCAAGAAGGATCCTGTGTCTCCATCATACACACACTGAGAGGTCAGTCTTCACCATGAAAAATAGATCCTTTCTTTTGAAATTTTAATTTCATTATATTAATATTAAGCACCCAAATCAAAATTTGGAAAAAGATACCATTTATTTCTTCTCGTTCCACTGGCTGTGCACATGCATTATCCCACTTAGCTGCTTCCAAAGTCTTCTATTCCCAATGAGTTTTCCCTTTAGCTAATGTTTAAAATCCACTGGACTTTCTAGGGGAGGTGCAATTTATCAACTTACAGTTTTTTTCTCTCTTTTCCTGCCAGCTGGTGTTAGGGCTAATGTCCCTTCTCTTGACTATGGAAACCACATGTGGAAGACTGCTCGCCTTCCCCTCACTTCCTTTCCTCTGGCATACTTGTGGCTTTGAAGCTGTGCCAGTGAGGAATCCAAAGGCTAGCTCATTCGTTAGCGTCCTCAGAGTTGAAAATGCTTTAGGAATGATCTGGGTTTTAAATCTGTATCACCTTTAACAACTCAGAGACTGCTGCACGTTCATCTGGATTAGGAAATATCCAGTCTGTTTGTAGCTACCATGTGGACAGGAAAGAATTTGCAGAGGACAAATACTAATTATCTCAAAACTATGTTTGGACACTTTTCTTCACAAGCTCTAAATTTGCTTTTTGAAAGTGTTTCTAATTCTGTACCAGGCGTGTTGTTTGAGGTACTCTGTTGCAGGTGTAATTTTGGGCTAGGTGGGATGGGATTTAAAAGGGACAATACTTATTTTCTCTCTCTAGGGTACTGATCCTTTAAGCTACATTAAGGATGACCTTTAGTAATAGCAAGTCCAGCATTCAGCACATGTTGCTGTCAGAACCCCCAGTGGCAGTGTAACGTTAAGGAATCTTCCACCAGGATTCCACAGGAGTGGATGCATTCACAAACATATAATTTATATAGGACCCTAAAAAGCCGGCGACACATTATAGACTCTCAAGGAGGAAGTTGAGGTTCTTATAACTTGCAGCAATACAACTGCTTCCTGGCTACCCGCTCTTTCACAAAACAACAATACACTCTGTATGTTGTTCTCTCTAAACATCTTTTTTTTTCAAAGTAGAATACACATGCAGAAGAGGATGTGTGCAGCTGGGTGAGGTTTCACCACTGCACTCACCTATGTTCCCATCAGCAGGACCGGCAATGCTCTGGACCTGCCTCTTTGCTCTGTGCCACCGCTCTAAGGTGAGCTGGTCTCCACCAACAGCACAGAGGCCTTAAGGTGAGCTGGTATCCACCAACAGCACAGGGAACTTAAGGTGGGCTGGTCTCCACCAACAGCACAGAGGCCTTAAGGTGAGCTGGTATCCACCAACAACACAGGGAACTTAAGGTGAGCTGGTATCCACCAACAACACAGAGAACTTAAGGTGAG